AGAACTCTACCCCTAGGAAGGGAAATCCACTCCTGGAAGAGTTATTTTCATGGGGAAAGTGGGTCTCCAATGGAGCTTTAGCACCATTCCTTGTTTCACAGCAAGCCACATTTTTCAAAATACAGTGACCACAGGGACAAAAAGTGAGTAGAAATCTCCTGAACAGGGGGACAGACAGAACAAACACCGCATGCGTATTGACTCTTCCCTATGCTGTCCAAAGCTCAAACATCTATATAAATAAAATTGTATTGTTCGTTTGTGGGATTAGCATAACTCAAAAGCCACTGGGCGAATTGACACCAAATTTGGACACAATACACGTCTCAGGCCAACAATTGACCATCACTCATAAAAAAACCTGAAAAACACAGCAGAAGAGACTTAAAAAGCCAAAAAATTTAAAAAAATACATTACAACACATGCACAAAACCATATATATATATATATATATATATATATATATATGAACGCAAACACACATATATACACATTTACTGTGCTGGTACGGCTGTACCAGGAGCTCCAACTTTATTTTCTTTCTGTTATCTGTTTGCAGTCATACGGCAGGCCTCCTGTCCATCATAATTAAGCTTTGGTTCCGCCCCTTGTTCAGGGCTCTAGGAGGGAAAGGAGCCATTTTTTGGGCAGTCTCACACAAGGAAGCTAAACTATAGGACGCAGACCAGCTCGTCCTGTGAAAAGCTTCTTTTCCCAAGAGCATCCAGGGAAAAAGAGCATCCAGGGGAACAGAACATCCGGAGAAACAGAAATTCCAGGAAAAAGGTCCCAAGGCTCTGGCTGAGAGCTCACAGCCTCTCAGCTTCACAGCAATCAGAGGGAAAAATGCCCCGAAGTTTCAAAGAATTCTCTGAGGGAGGACAGCATTACAGATCCAAGGAACTCCAGCTGAAATATCTTCAAGCCTCGGCTGGTAGGTCTACTCGATACCCAGACGCATTTGGAATCGGTAGTAGGACCCACACCGATGAGGCATAGATAGTAAACAGCCTGGGAGGGGTTAAAAAGGGTTTTTCCTACAGAGGAAGTTCAGTTAATCAAAGTCAGGTACCAGCCCATTGAGGACTATACTAAGAAAGCCTTGAAGTGTTGTTTGAACCATTGAAGATTTGTTGTTTGTTCCATAATAAAGACTTTGTTGTATCATTAAAGACTAAAGACCATCACTTCCTATAGAAAAGTACAGCTGTTACAGGCCCAGCGCGCGACAGAACATTTACAAAAATATATACACAGACAAAGCACATATACACAGACTGAGCCACTGCAACGTGTGACAGGGGACGACACATATAGATCTATATAAATAAAAATGTAATGTTCGTTTGTGGGATTAACATAATTCAAAAACCACTGGACGAATTGAGACCAAATTTGGACACCATACACCTATCAGGCCAACAAGTGACCATCACTCACAAAAACACTGAAAAACACAGCAGAAGAGACCTAAAACGCCAAAAAACCCATAAAATTACATTACAACGCATGCACAAAAACACATATATACACAAACACACACATATACACAAACACACACACACATACACACACACAAAACACATAAACATAGACTGGGCCACAGCAACGCATGGCAGGGGACAGCTAGTATAAATAAAAAATGCAATGTTTATTTGTGGAATTAACATAACTCAAAAACCACTGGAGGAATTGAGACCAAATTTGGACACCATACACCTATCAGGCCAACGAATGACCATCAGTCATAAAAACACTGAAAAACACAGTGGAAGAGACTTGAAAAGCCAAAAAACAAAAAATGCATTACAACACATGCACAAAACCACATATATACAAACACACACATATATACACACAAAACACATATACATAGACTGGGCCACAGCAGTGCGTAGCAGGGGACTTTGTATTTCTAGGTGCAAAGATTACTGCAGATGCACTGTGGCCAGGAAATCAGAAGACGCTTACTTCTTGGGAGGAGAGCAATGTCCAGTCTCGACAAAATAGTCAAGAGTAGAGACATCACACTGGCAACAAAGATCTGCCTAGTCAAAGCCATGGTATTCCCTGTAGTAACCTACAGATGTGAGAGCTGGACCTTAGAGAAGGCTGAGCGAAGGAAGATAGATGCTTTTGAGCTGTGGTGCTGGAGGAAAGTGCTGAGAGTGCCTTGGACTGCGAGAAGATCCAACCAGTCCATCCTCCAGGAAGTAAAGCCCGGCTTCTCTGGAGGGAAAGATGCTAGAGACAAAGTTGAAGTACTTTGGCCACATCATGAGGAGACAGCAAAGCCTGGAGAAGACAATTATGCTGGGGAAGGTGGAAGGTAAAAGGAAGAGAGGCCGACCAAGGGCAAGATGGATGGATGGCATCCTTGAAGTGACTGGACTGACCTTGAAGGAGCTGGGGGTGGTGACGGCCGACAGGGAACTCTGGCGTGGGCTGGTCCATGAGGTCACGAAGAGTCGGAGACAACTGAACGAATGAACACATGAACATACACACACATGCTGGGGTTACACTTCAAAATGTAACTATTCCAACTTATAAATAAATTCAATTTAAGAGCAAACCTACAGAACTTATCTTGTTTGTGACTTGGGGACTGCTTGCATGCCGTACCAAATAATGTTTGTTTCTCTGTGTGCCACACATGAAAGGTTTATGTAAGTGGTTAGTTTGTAAGATTGAGTTTGGTGCTTATTGAGATTTATGCATAGCAGTGTTTACAAATATACAAACACACCTGCACATGCTAAGCACCCTGTTATATAAGAAATTGGCAGGAATTATTTGGCTTTCTATAACAAAGCTGTGTTTGCTACTTAGCAACTGACTGAATTTCTGCCCCGAGGACTGAAGATGAGGGGCCAGGGCTTGATTTGGCAACCATGTATGTGACGTGCCACATAGCATGCACTTACATGCTAGAATCATGGAATAACTAGAACAGGCATGGGCAAACTTGGGCCCTCCAAGTGTTTTGAACTCCAACTCCCACCATTCCTAACAGCCTCAGGCCCCTTCCTTTCCCCCCTCAACAGCTTAAATTGACCCTTTTAAGCAACTGTAAAAGTGAATCTTGTTAGGTGGTTTGTGGGCATTATTAAAGGGTAATCCATAGATAGATAGATAGATAGATAGATAGATAGATAGATAGATAGATAGATATTCCTGGAAATGGGTGCATTTACACAGTAGTTAATCCACTTTGAAAACATGGAGTTTGTGAAAGAGATAGTTGATGTGGTGGGTGCCTTCAAGTTATTTCTGATTCATGACAACCCCCACGGTGATCATATCACAGGTTTTTCATGACAAAATTAATTCCGATGAAGGTTGACATGGCTTTCCTCTGAGGCTGAGAGAGTGTGACTTGCCCAAGGTCACCCAGTGGGTTTCCTTAGGCAAAAAACTACATAAAACAAATAACATTGTGCAACATTAATTTTGTTTATTTATTTATTTATTTACTCCATTTGTATACCGCATATATCAGCCTGCGACGGCGACTCAATGCGGTTTACAATAAAAATGGCAACACTGACAATATATAAGACGTACATACACAAACAACACACACAGTCATCAACGCCTCAATTAGAATCAGATCCCGTTCTCATAGTCCTTTTTTCGTTCCTTGTTCAATGCCGTCTTACTGAGTTAGTTGTCATTGCATAGTTGTCCAAACGCCTGCTCATAGAGCCACGTCTTAACCCTCCTCCGAAACACCAGCAACGAAGGGGCCTGCCTGATGTCCACTGGTAGGGCATTCCATAGCCGAGGGGCCACCACTGAGAAGGCCCTATCTCTCGTCCCCGCCAACCGCGCCTGCGACGCCGGCGGGACCGAGAGCAGGGCCTCCCCGGACGATCTTAAAGTCCTCGGGTTATAAATATTATTTCCTAATAGGCTCTATCAGAAAAACATGGGAAAAGTTTATTAAACTCCCAGAACTTGGTTTTTGCTGGAGTGACATCCTGCAACACATTTTGCTCTAGTTTTTCAATATCTCATAGAATTCAACACATTTTTCTTTCATGCCTTTTCTCCTGTAATCTTTCATTTTCAGATTTATCACCTGCCATTAAAAAAACTTGGGGGGGGGGGGAAGTGTTTGGGATACTGGTCTTTCCCCTTCAATCTCACTACTCTGGAGTAGACCCCAGGCACTGATTTTAACACCACTTTATGGATAAAGGACTTTCCCCTCCAATCTCACTACTGGAGTCCACTTTGACAGCTCCTATCTTTACTCTTCTTAATTCAGAACAACAAATGTTTTGTTTTTGTTTTTTTGTCGTGTCAGGAGTGTCCTGTTGTGAGAGAATTGGCCGTCTGCAAGGATGTTGCCCAGGGGACGCCCGGATGATTTTTTGATGTTTTATCATCCTTGTGGGAGGCTTCTCTCATGTCCTCGCATGAGGAGCTGGAGCTGATAGAGGGAGCTCATCCGCCTCTCCCCAGATTCGAACCTGCAACCTGTTGGTCTTCAGTCCTGCTGGCACAGGGCTTTAACCCACTGCGCCACTGGGGGCTCCAACAACATATGTACAACGTGATCAGTTGCATCAACTCACATAATGCCCTAATATGAGAGATTTAAAATGGTCTTTCCTTGTCCACGTGGCTAAACTCCTTCAGCGGCTCATGAAGCGAGAGCACACTCCAAACTGTCTCTCTGCTTCTCTCTGCACCTGCATAGCTCAAACCTAAACAAAAACATAACAATAACCAAAAGTCCCAGGCTCAGCTTGCTCCCTGGGCATTGCTCAACCAATCAGCTCCATGCATCTTAACTGATACCTTGCATGCTCCAACATTATATGAGTCTCCCCTGCGATATAATTCAGTTCAAAGCAGATAATCTGGATTGTATATGGCGGTGTAAAAGAGGCCAGAGAGATACTGCACAGATAGGGTTAATGCTCACTGCTTAGCTTTCCTTTTCCTTCAAACAGATTTACAGATAATAGAAAGCGAAACCTAAATTGTAGGATATGGGCAATCTAAGCCAAGGGTGGGTCAGTTAGCTGATGTGGAGGCTGGAAGAGGATGCTGAGGTGAAAATACCATTGAATAATTGAAAAAAGCAGAAGTGGCGAAGGCAAGAAAAGACAGAGACAAGAAGGAATTAAAGCAGAGAAACAGCTATGGTGTAAGATTTCATCTATATGAGAATGGTTTTGAGGAATCAGCTTGCCTAAACAGCTCTACAAAGAACTGCTTGCTTGAAACCTGGAAGGAAGTCCTCAGAAAAAGTGTAAGATCTATATATAAATATCTTTGGGGTAGATTTAGAATGCATCTACACTGTAGAATTAATGCTGTTTGACATCACTTTAACTCCCATGACTCAATCCTATGGATCATTGGAATTATAGCTTTACAAGGTGTGTAGCCTTCTCTGCCAAAAAGTGCAGTGCCTCACCAAACTACAAATCCCAGAACTCCGTAGCATTCAGCCTTGGTAGTTAAGAAGGTGGCAAACTGCATTCATTTCACAAAGTAGATGCACCCTTAAAGGAAGCCATTTATTCACTATTTGTTTATTCTATTGCTTAGTTGGGAATTTGTTATAAATGTTACTCTCCAGCTGTCACAATTTGACAGATTAATCCTTTGCCATCCCATTTTTCAGCCAGTTATAATATTGTGTCTGTTTCTCTTTTATCTCCCATATCATCATTTTGTCCTTAGCTTATTTCGGCTGCTGCAAACTGAGTTCAAAATGCCAAAGTAGTTTGCACTTCATTAACTTGAATCTTACTCTTTCTTGCAGAGTCGGGTAAATGCAAACGGCTGCAGAATCTACTAACGTGTATTCTTTTTCATTAATAACATTTGTCTGATGTTATGTTGCCACAAATTATTTCAATGTTAATTTGTTGGAGGGTATGTGTTGTTACTGTATGCCTTCAAACTGTAATGACCGTAAAGGCAAACTTACCACAGGGATTTATTAAAATGGCCTTTGCCATTCTCTGAGGCCGAGGCCCCTTCCACACAGCTGAATAAAATTCCAAATATCTGCTTTCAACTGGGTTATCTGAGGGCCCTTCCACATAGCCATATAACCCAGAATATCAAGGCAGATAATCCACAATAGCTGCTTTGAACTGGGTTATCTGAGTCCACGTTGCCATATAGCCCAATTCAAAGCAGATATTGTGGAATTTTCTGCCTTGATATTCTGGGTTATATGGGTGTAGGGAAGGGCTCTGAGAGGGTGTGACTGGACCTATAGGGTCCTTCAACATAGCCCTATATCCCAGAATATCTGCTTTCAACTGGGTTTTCTGAGGACCCTTCCACATATCCATATAACCCAGAATATCAAGGCAGAAAATCCCACAATATCTGCTTTGAACTGGGTTATCTGAGTCCACACTGCCATATAGCCCAGTTCAAAGCAAATAATATGGGATTTTGTACAGCTGCATGGAAGGGGCCCCAATTCAATGCAGATATTGTGGGATTTTCTGCCTTGATATTCTGGGTTATACGGCTGTGTGGAAGGGCCCTGGAAGGGTGTGACTGGACCCATAGGGTCCTTCAACATAGCCCTATATTCCAGAATACCAAGGCAGAAAAGCCCACAATATCTGCTTTCAGCTGGGTTTTCTGAGGGCCCTTCCACACAGCCATATAACCCAGACTATCAAGGCAAAGAATCCCACAATATCTGCTTTGAACTGGGTTATCTGAGTCCACGCTGCCATATATTTCAGTTCAAAGCAGATAATGTGGGATTTTATTCAGCTTTGTGAAAGGGGCCTGAGTCCAAACTCAGATAACGTGGGATTTTCTGCCTTGATAATCTGGGATATAGGGCTGTGTGGAAGGGCCCATGGCTGAGCGGGGATTTGAACCTTGTCTCCAGCACTGTAGTGGATAGATTGCATCAACCCTAGTTTCTTAGATAGGGCTATCATGGTTTTCTGTGGGCAGGAAGATGGCAACTTGTAGGTGGCATATGCTCAGTATCTCAAAAACTTGACCTAATTAGGGGAAACTATTGCCATTTTTGGAATCAGCAGGTCAAATATAACCAGAAACAGGATAACATTTGAGGCACCGAAATGTGTGTTGATGATGTAATTTTGAATTCTTAGCAAAAGATTTTTTGAAAAGATTTTAATATTACATAAGTAATCCTTTTAAAACATGTATTATTGCTGTGATTGGTAGGAACTACTAGTTGTCCACCTAATTCCTGAAGTCCTACCACTATACCAAAGAAAAAGATAAATAGATTGGAGGGTGGGTTGGTGGAAATACCTCTAAAGCAGTGTTTCTCAACCTGGGGGTCAGGACCTCTGTGGGGGTCACGAGGGGGTGTCAGAGGGGTTACCAAAGACCATCAGAAAACATAGTATGTTCTCTTTGTCATGGGTGTTCTGTGTGGGAAGTTTGGTCCAATTCTATCATTGGTGGGGTTCAGAATGCTATTTCATTGTGGCTGAACTATGAATCCCAACAACTACAACTCCCAAATGGCAAGGTCTGTTTTCCCCAAACTCTACCAGTATTCACATTTGGGCATATCTGTGCCAAGTTTGATCCAGATCCATCACTGTTTGAGTCCACAGTGTTCTCTGGATTGAGGTGAACTACAACTCCAAAAACTCAAGGTCAGTGTCCACCAGACTCTCCCAGTATTTCTCTTGGCCATGGGAATTCTGTGTGCCAACTTTGATTCAATTCCATCATTGGTGGAGTTCAAAAGGCTCTTTGAATTTAGGGGAACTATAAATCCCAGCAACTCCAACATTCCCAAATGGCAAAATCAATCCCCCCTCCCCCCAACCCCACCAGTATTCAAATTTGGGTGTATTGAGTATTTGTGCCAAATTTCGTCCAGTGAATGAAAATACATCCTGCATATCAGATATTTATATTGCAATTCATAACAGGAGCAAAATTAAAGAAGTAGCAATGAAAATAACGTTATGGTTGGGGGTCACCACAACGTGAGGACCTTTACTAAGGGGTCGCGGCATTAGGAAGATTGAGAACCACTGCTCTAAAGGGTTAATGTTCAGTGATTAAGTTTCTTTTTCCTTCAGAAATACCAAAGATTTGTAAAGAATAGAAAGTGAAAACAAGAATGTGGTATATGAGTAATTTATGGGTGTGTTAGTTGATATAGACTGGAAGCAGCAATTGAGCTGGAACTAAAATTGAAGTCAAAGCAGAAGTGGCCAAGGACAATGCAGTCTCCAACATTTAACAGATTGAAATATGTACATTTGTGCCCAAAGAGCATCAGAATCTAATTAAAACGGCAAAACACCCCAAGATAATTTTACAGTAGCACAAAAATAGGTATGTATGATTAGGCTTAATTGACTTGGAGTCAGAAGGGACTCTGAATTGAATCCAGAGACACTGTCAAGATAGAATGCAAAAAACAAAACAATACAAAAACCCTACTGCTATTGATTTAGTGAAACTTAAAAACAACAAAAAGAGAATTTCAACCAATACTGCTTGTTATCTACAGAGCTAGTTTAGGTTGAGAAACTGTAGAGAGCCAAAACTCACTGAGATATTTTTGCAGCCAAATTGGGGGATTGGAATTCAGATTGTTTCAATCCTTAATCAGTATTGAAAGAAATGATAAAATGCTGTTTTTACAAAATATAAAATTAGTGCCTTAAATAATATAGACTAGATTCATTAGACAACAACAATCAATAGGATAGGTTCATTAGAAATAGATTGGTAAATTAAGTAGTTTATTGAAGAATATCTTGCATTTATTAAGGTTTGTGTTTTGCTGTTGATAAGAAAAATTGCTGGCCACAGACAATTTTAATTGCCAGAAAAACCTTGAAGATAAGGAAGAAAAAAGGGAAGGTGCAGTCAAAACAGCTGTGAAAAAGTGCAGCTGCGGTCAAGATGACATGCATACTTGAAAGTTGAAAAGATAAAGGAATAAGTTGGCCAAATTGGGAATAACCCTGCCAAAGAAGGGCAAGAAACCTTTAATTGGTTTGAGGTTGTCTTAAATTTATAACAACTCTGATAAGCCCATAGACCAGTGTTTCTCAACCTTCCAAATGCCGCGACCTTAATATAGTTCCTCAGGTTGTGGTGACTGCCAACCATAAAAATATTTTGTTGCTACTTCATAACTGTAATTTTGCTACTGTTATGAATCGTACTGTAAATACCTGATATGCAGGGTGTATTTTCATTCACTGGACCAACTTTGGCAGAAATACCCAATACATCCAAATTTGAATACTGGTGGGGGGGGGGGGGGCATGATGTTGCCTTTTGGGAGTTGTACTTGCTGGGATTTATAGTTTACCTACAATCAAAGGGCATTCGGAACTCCACCAATGATGGAATTGAACCAAACTTGACACACAGAACTCCCATAACCAACAGGAAATATTGGAAGAGTTTGGTGGGTACTGACCTTGAGTTTTGGAGTTGTAGTTCACCTACATCCAGAGAGCGCTGTGGACTCAAGCAATGATGGATCTGGACCAAACTTGGCACAAATACTCAATATGCCCAAATGTGAATGCTGGTGGAGTTTGGGGAAAATAGGCATTGACATTCATGAGTTGTAGTTTTTGGTATTTATAGTTAACCTACAATCAAATAGCATTCTGAACCCTACCAATGATAGAATTGGGCCAAACTTCCCACACAGAACCCCCCAACCAATAGAAAATACTGTGTTTCTGATGGTCTTTGGCAACCCCCATGACACACCCCACCTGACCAGCCCCCCCCCCTCCCCCCAGGCTCCTGATCCCAAGGTTGAGAAACACTGCCATAGACTCTATGACACCGTTGATCAAATCAGAGACGAGTGAGACTTTGTGAAAAGGAAGAGTTAAAAGGACTCACACAATGAATGTCGGGGTGTGCCTTTTATTGATTGATTGATTGATTGATGATGGTGATGATTATCGTAAGGACACCAGTATCTTCTGGTATTTATATAAAGAAATTTTCTGCTCCACCAAACTTTGTGTTCAGAGTAATTTTTAATAAGATGGCTCTAAGAAGGGGCATACAAGCAAACCCCAAGTTATGAACAAGGTTCTGTAGGTCTGCTTTTAAGTTAACTTGGGGAGTGCCTATATTTCTAAGAGAGTTCTAACTATTATACTAGTGTTCTGTTTCTCCTGTTGTTTACTATTGGAAAAATGCAGCCAGTTAATCAAAGGCACTTTTAAAACAATCTAACCAGCTAATCCAGATCTCCATCCCCTCTGTTGTTTGTAGATACATATGTCTTGTACATAGGGATGTGCACCAAAGATTTGGGAGAAATACTTTTGTGGACTTTTAACTCCCATATTGGTCGGAAGATCATTTTCAAGCTCTGGCTTTACTTGAAGGTGAAAGCTATTCGTATTGAAGGTGAAAGCTATTCGTATTGAAGCAGTTCTAAAAAGAACTGATCTGCTTTTGTGTAGGAACATCATCACCACGGCTTGCCTCCATGGCCTTTGAGACCATTCGGAGGGAGCGTGAGAAGCTCATCGCCTTTCTTGAAAGGGCGCCTGATCTCATCTTGGACGATGCAGCCTCCCAAGGCTTTATCTCAGAGACAGATTACAGTGAATTGGACAAGCTTCAGTCCTCCAAGGAGAAGATGCACAAACTTTTGGTCAAGATCCAACGCAAGGGCGAAGAGATTTGCCATCGGTTTCTGGAAAGCATACGGAGTATCTTTCCAGACCTGCCTGCTGCCTTATGGCCTCCAGCGAGTGGTGAGTTAATGTTTGGTAGGATTCCCAGTTTCACCATTCATATAATCATAGGGCCATCCACAAAGGCCATCCAGTCCAACCCCATTTGCCATGCTGAAACACACAATGAAAGCACTCCCGATAGATAGCATCTGCTTAAACATTTCCAGAGAAGGAGACTCCACCATGCTCCCAAGCAGCATATTCTTCTATCAAAGTCGTGAAGTTTGGATTCACTGTTCCATGGCCTAGTATCTAGAGTAGCTTACCCTTTCCTCAATGTGACATCCTTTGAAATATTTAAACATGGCTATCATGTCCCCTCTCAGTATACCCACCTACGCTTGGTTTCCAGACCTTTGATCATTTTGTTTGCCCTTCTCTGCACATGTTCTATATTGGTGAATGTAGAATCCGTTAGTGCTACATGAGAACTTTTGAAATGGGGTACAGGTAGCTATCCTTTTGGGTCCTGCCCCAAATCTATCTTCTGACAGCTCTCAAAAGAGAGACAAAGGGCCCTTCCACACAGCCCTATATCCCAGAATATCAAGGCAGAAAATCCCACATTATCTGAGTGTGGACTCAGACAACCCAGTTCAAAGCAGATATTGTGGGATTTTCTTACGTAATATTCTGGGTTATATGGCTGTGGCCCCTTCTACACAGCTGCGTTAATATTCTGGAATGTAGACTGTGTGGAAGGGCCCAGACACAGCTCTCTCAGGACCCTTCGAAACAGCCATATAACCTAGAATATCAAGGCAAAATACCCCAAAATATTTGCTTTGAACTGGAATATCTGAGTCCACACTGCCATATATCCCAGTTTAAAGCAGATAATGTTGGTTTTTATTCAGCTCCGTAGAATGGGCCTTAAAGCATAAAGCAACACAGAGACATACTTAGTGTTTAAATCAGCTTTCCCCTGATTTTGGCAGTTTGCGGAAAACTGCAGGGATTTTATAGAACGAATACACGTTGACATCACTTTTACTGCCATGGCTCAATGCTGTCAAATCCCAGGATTTGTATTTTTTGGGGTGGGGGGGGGTGCAGCACTCTTTGGCAGAGAAGGTTAAAAACTTTTCAAAATATCTTGTAAGCCGCTCTGAGTCCCCTTCGGGGTGAGAAGGGCAGCATATAAATGTCGCAAATAAATAAATAAATAAATAGCTGCCATGATTCCACAGTATTGAGCCATGGCAGCTAAAGTGGTGTCAAACTGCATTAATTCTACAGTGTTGATTCACTCTGAGTATCCTTCTGCACTCTGTCCATTTCCCTCCACTAGTGAGCAGCAGAAATGAAGGTCCCTCTTGGAGCTTACTTGCATCTGAGAAGGACACAAAACTACAAATAGTGTTAACATCCTGTCTGCTTGGTGTAGGATCCTGGTCACAAGGTCCCATACTTTTTGCAATGTTTTCATCGAACCTCTGCGTTCTGGAGTTCTCAAATTGCTTCTCCTCGGCTTTTGAAAATGGTAGAGTTGCTGATTGCAAAGAGCTGTGAACAAATTAAATTAAGGTGATAATAATTAATAATTAATGCAGCGCCCTAACTGCACCGTGTTTTATGGCCATCACACCTCGAGGTGTTGGCCACTATTATCCCCTTTATCTGAGGTTGAGAAATGGTGACTTCATAGCACCTGCTGAGTTCAGAGCTTAGGTGTGGTAAAGGCTATAAATGAGCCAGGCGCCAGTCCCAGAACTTCCTTTGAGTATCTGAGCGAATAAGATGGGAGAAAATGAATTAGTTTTTCAATTAGCAGAAAAGGACACTGAGGAATGATGATGATGATGATGATGCATTTATCTATATACCGTCTCCTAATAATGAGACTCAAGGCAACTAACACAGTGTAGATGTACCCCAGGACATGGAATGGCAGCTATGAAAGAACGAAAGAAGACCCTGAAGTGTCAAAATGAATATTAATATTAATATTTTACCATGCCATGGTATTTCTCATTATGGAATCCTAGGGTTTGTAGTTTAGTGAAACACTAGTGCTAGAGCTGTCTGCCTGATATTTCTAAATACTTCTCTGTAAACTGCAAATCCCATAGGATTGCAGTTAAATTGGAGTCAGAGTATTGCAATCAGAGAGCATAAAATGCCCTTGGGAAGAAATGTAGGGAATTCCATATCCACCATGATATCTACAATCTTGTTTTTTCAAGTACTGATCACCGAGGTTAGCAAAACAGAGTGTTCCCTGGGCATTCTCACTGTGGTCAGGAGTTAATGGATGACAGAAAAACTAATAGTATTATTTTCCCAGTGTAATCAATTGGCGTTAATGCTTTGCATACTAGTATAATTGGGCAGAGGTCAGATTTCTGTTCAGTTAACAGTATAGGAGCCAAAAGGAAAGAGGAAAGACTAAGGTACAAATTATGAACGAACTAAACTTTATTATATGCACTTTAGGCTTAAGTACACTTTAGAATTGTTTACAAGGAAAGAGGATCATAACACATCCACTTATGTTACACCTTCTTCTACACTGCCATATAAAATCCAGATTATCTGCTTTGAACTGGATTATAAAGCAGTGTAGACTCATATAATCCCGTACAAAGCAGATAACGTGGATTATTTGCTTTGATAATCTGGATTATATGGCAGTGTAGAAAGGGCCTTAGAATGACCCAGAAAGGAAATATGTGTCCTACATATTCTGAGCAATACTTACAATTCTGGTTTGCACTGATGAAATATTGGTGATTTCTTTTATCTCTGAAATTGCATAATACACGCCTCATGGACTGCAGACCCAGTTTGTTCAAATTTTTTGTTTTTTGCATAATACTGAGTTGCTCAAGGCTTTACTTTCCCTTTTTAGACCTTTTGTTTTTAGTTGTTCTTTCTTTAGTCATCAGTTATGGACCTGGCTTGGGGGTCAACAGGATATGGAGTTTCCCCTTTGTTACAACTTATTCACAGAAATTCAGTTTATTGGTGGGAGATCAAGTGTAGCTGGGGAACCACCATTATTGCCCAAGGGCTTCCTCTGATACTTTCCATCTCAGCATGTTTGGTGCCCCCTTTGTGCAATTTGATGTGTCTCCCCATCTTTCATTGAAACATCTCTGTGGGTTAAATATCAGGTTTCTTAGGGCCCTTTCACACAGCCATAGAATATCAAGGCAGATAATTCACAATATCTGCTTTGAACTTGGTTATCTGCGTCCACACTGCTATATAATTCAGTTCAATGTGGATTTTATACAGCTGTGTGGAAGAGGCCTTAGCGAAGTCAACTGTACTTCTAAGTATTACTTGAAGGAAGGCACCTTCACGTATAAGCTACTCTTCCACTAATATGTAAGATTGCTTGCTTGGAATAGAACGTTCTCCTTTCTCTTCATTTCCATGCTCTCTTCATCTGTCTTTGTTTAGTGTGTGCGTGCATGAGTGCGTGTATGCATATAGGATTCTCATCTCCCATAGGAGAGAAAAGCAAAGCCTAGTCTCTGGAGAGTTAGAGATAGGAATAAGTACAAGTTAAGCCCTCAATAACTTCCCCAATAACTTGTGTGGGACCTAAATGATCTTCTACATCTACACTGTTGGTAGTTGCCTTGAATCTCATTATTGGGGCACAGATGGAATATATACATAAATGAATTGTTGTTGTTATTCCTCAGGAATTACTCAAGATCCTGAAGTGTGGAGATATATAGTTGAATATTAAAGTTAGGATTGTCCATGTCATGGTATTTCTCATCTTATGCTCAATCCTATGTGGTTTGATAGGGTTGCAGAATGTTAATCAAATGACCAATATTCAAATCTCAGCATAGGTTATCTGACTCTTCTTTCGGAAGAATATTTAATACTAATACAGCCATCACTCTACATTCCTAGCGGCTGTTAGGAATTATAGGAGTTGAAGTCCAAAACACCTGGAGGGCCAAATTCTGCCCGTGCTTTTTCTAGAGAGTGTCTCTTTGATCAACCTCCTTCAGTCATATTGGAGGACCAAGAGATAGCTAGAGAAGATTCTAGCTATTGCTTGGTCTCCCAGTGCAATTCTGTGGTCAGCTTTCAGCAGAAGTTGACCATAGATTTGTGCTGGATGGCCTAGATATTCTTAGAAAGGTGTTCCTTTGGGTAAACAAAAGTAATTTCTATATTTGTAGTGTTTCACTTTGATGGGGGTCCTCTGCTCCTAATCCAAGTTAATGTGAAAGGCTGACTGTCTGTATGCATTTTCATTATTCTTAGAAGTGATGCTGAAATTTACAGTTGGACAGCTTTCTTTTTGTTTAGAGGGAGGGTGCTGGATAGAATTGCTTTTAACTGAAGGCTTTTGGTTAGCTTGCTCCCCTACTGAATGCTCAGACGTAAATGGAAGTTGTAACTGTCCTCCTGCTGAAGCTGTGAATGAGAAGAGTGAACCAGAAAATCCAGACTTGGTGATTTCCTCGCCAGTGAATGGAAGCAAGAACTCTGAAGGTATGCCCTGAATATTAATTTATGAAAGCCCATTTAGTGCTAAAGTTGCAAAAAAAATGTTTATTCCTGTAATTAGTCTTCATGATTCCTGGATCAATTGGTTATGAACCTTTGCATATTGTTTTTTGAATCAATATGATTACTCTTACTTTCTTCTCTGAAGCTATGAGAAAGATGAAGTGGATATTTTTCTCAGGTTGCCAGATTGAATTCAGGCCACACATAGCCCTGAAATTTTAAATTGTCCTTGGTGTGAAAAATGGATTTTCCCTATTCCGCTTTCATTATATTTTTCAGCCAGTAACACTGAATTCCTCATTAGCCTATGGGAAACCTATGCCCCTTCATAGATTGTTGGGTTTAAATTCCTCATCAACCTCAGGCAGCATGGTCTATGGTATATGGAGGACTATTGCTTTCCCTGCCCTAGAACTTATGCAAACTTTTATCTCCCAATGTTTTCTGTACCTTTCTGTCTTTCTAACCACACTAAAGCTCTAAGGTTAGATGAGGTTTTTATTCATCCAAACTGATATTTTAATTTCTTTCCAGCAGCTAGATAAACGAACATTCCTTGATTGAGGAAACATATTCAAGGGTAGCCATGTTGGCCATACAAAATCCATAAAATAGCATAAATCTTAGACTACTCAAAACAATCCTCCTCAGCAGGTAGTTCTCCTGTTTCTTTTTGAAGATATCTAGAAAAAAGAAACTCCACACCACTTCACTAAAGCAAAGTGCTACATTTGTTTGCTGTGTGCCTTCCATGTTGTTTCTGACTTACGGCAAACCTAAGGCGAACCTATCACAAAGTTTTGTAAACATACTCTTACATTTAAAACTTCTCTGATAGAGATTTAGACATAATTTTGGAACAGTACATTCATGAACATGTTGCCTTAAACATTTACCCCTCTCCTTTTTTGCATGATAGAAGATGCATCCAATACCGAAGACCTTAAAGTAGATATGATGGAGGAAGATATCCCTGAAGGTAAGGATTTCTCAGCTTCTGGTGAAAATTGTTCATTTTATTAATGTATTTAACATGTATTGTAAAAGTTTCTCTCTCCTGTTTCTCACCCAACATTCCTGCACTTCTGGGCACATTTACTTCTTTCTTCCAAAATAATTCGTAAGAAATATTGCATGATGAATAATTTTTTTCTCCCTTTTTCCCTCCCACCAGGGACAGTCAAGAGCTTCCTGAACAAGTTGGGGCTCAGCAAGCAAAGCAGAAGCAAGCTCACTATGAGAGAAATCCTAGAAATTGACTCAGAAAGTCTCAAAATCATGGCTCCCCAAAAGCTGGAAGATCTACCATGGCATTTCTTGAGGAAACTCATGGCACTCAATGGAACTGCTAGAAATACAAGCCTTGTGCCAAAGGCTGAGAAAGATTCAGATGAAAGTATGAAAGATGAGATATTTTGTCTTCCTGAAGGAGAGACAGAGGTTTCTTCAAACCCTCTTGATGTCCTTTGTGCCATATTGCTGTGTTCTGATAGTTTCCTTCAACAGGAGATTTTTCTTAAAATGTCCATGTGCCAGTTTGCCCTTCCTTTGATTTTACCTCCCCTTGACACTCCCAAATGTACCTTCATGCTCTGGGCCATGATGGCCATTGTGAGAAAATGGCGGCCACATTCCTTAGCTGAGAGTAGAGGCTTTAGAGAGGATAACTTGGTGCTTATTTCCATGCCAACCATTTCCTTTGTGCGGATGGGAACTAGCAGTCTCTCCAAATCCAAACTTCTTAATGAAGTTCTCAGCTCCCCTCAACACCACCATGATTTCTTTGTACACCGTGATGTTGACTGTGGAAACGTTGCTCGAGAGATTAGTAATGGGTTAGTGGAAATTTCCTGGTATTTCCCTGCAGGGAGGGAAAACTCTGATCTTTTTCCAGAACCTGTAGCAATAACAAACCTGCGTGGAGACATAGAGTCACATTGGTTGCAATTCAGTTTTTTAACAGAAGTATCAACAGCTGTCTTTATTTTTGTTGAGAACATTTCCGAATCAGAATATAACATGTTCTTGACTCTCCAGAAACTAGCATCTAAATTCTACTTTATCTTAAATACGGAAGGAGGAAAATCAAAGGAAGCACTGGGGTCCCTTAACAGACTAGCACCACTACTGAATTTGACCAGATCACAGTTGCTGGTGAAAGAAAAAAGCCAAAATACCACAGAATTTGTAAAGAAGCTCCATTTGGCCATGAGAAACATCATGACATCTCCTCAGAAAGTGATGAATATAGAAGAAATGTCTGATATAAGCCGAGAACTGGGAATTGAGATAGATGCAGACACACAGGGCTGTCAGAAGGGGACTTTGTACGCCAAGGAAATCACTGAAGAAATAGCAGATGTTGCAGATTACAAGAAGGAAATGCTGAAACTCCAAGGAGACTTGTGGAGAACTGTGGCCAAGGTGGAGAAAGAGCAGTGCAGAATGAAAGGACAAGCTGACACACCAACAGAAGACTACAAGTCTCAGCTTAGAGAGAAGTGGATACAATTGCGCGCAAAGCAAAATCAGTGTGACCTTACTGATGGCATAACAAAATTTATTAATGGACTCCAGCATCTTTGCCCAACAGAGAAGCATTTCTTTCTGAAACTGATGAAATTCAGCTTAGATCGTATTGCAAGGGGAAACCTCTTAATATTGCAGGAAGAGTATAAAGAGAAATGCCGCACAACAAGTAATGACACAGAGCAATTAAAACAGCTGGACAAATTAATTTCCTTAAGTTCCTTAGGGGTGGAACACTTCATGCGTGAGTTGGGGCAGTTTTATGAAGCAGAATACATGATGGTGAAAGAAGGTAGGATTACACAGGGCCAAAGGCAATTTCTACACCTGCCAGCAATAGCTGCCGACTTGATGCTGGAAGGATTTCCAATGGAGCTGATTGATGGAGATGCCTCTAACATCCCCCTGCAGTGGGTCACTGATGTTCTGACTGAGCTCCATAATAAGCTAGGGGGCAGATCTAGAATGCAGATTCTAACAGTTCTTGGTGTACAAAGCACTGGCAAATCTACCCTTCTCAATACCATGTTTGGACTGCAGTTTGCGGTCAGCAGTGGTCGATGTACTCGGGGAGCGTTCATGACACTCCTTAGAGTCTCAGAGAATCTGCAGCAGGAAATTGGTTGTGATTTTGTCTTAGTAATAGACACAGAAGGTTTGAAAGCCCCTGAATTGGCCAAGCTGGAGGACAGCTATGAGCATGATAATGAGTTGGCAACCTTGGTGATTGGACTCAGTGATATCACCATCGTTAACTTGGCCATGGAAAATGCAACCGAAATGAAGGACATCTTGCAAATTGTGGTCCATGCATTTTTGCGGATGGAGAACATTGGCCGCAAACCCAACTGTCAGTTTGTGCATCAGAATGTCAGTGACGTTTCCGCTCATGACCAAAACATGAGGGATAGAAAACACCTCCTTGAACAGCTGAATGAAATGACCACAGCTGCAGCCAGAATGGAGAAACGACACGGAGAGGTGTGTTTTTCAGATATTATGGACTACGCTCCAGAAAAGGACAACTGGTACATTCCTGGCTTGTGGCATGGCGTCCCACCCATGGCTCCAGTGAACCTTGGATACAGTGAAAGTGTGTCAGAATTGAAAAGGTACTTATTTGACTTCATGAGGACCAGCTCGCAAAATAGATCTTCTAAAGACATCCCTCAGTTTGCTGAGTGGATAAAAAGCCTATGGAATGCTGTAAAACATGAAAATTTTATCTTCAGCTTCCGTAACAGTCTTGTGGCCAATGCATATAACCAGCTTTCAGTTAAATATTCAGAATGGGAGTGGGATTTCCAGAAAGAGATATATTGCTGGGTGTCTAAAGCTGAGACTTCAATTCAGAATCGTTCTCTAGAAGAACTAAAAGATATTACCTTAGATAAAATAACACTTGAGGGTTATCACAAATTGGATGCTGGAGAGAAAGAAATGTTACAGTGCATACAGAGCTATTTTGAGAGTGGTGGAGAACATTTGCACCTGATAGAAAAGTATAAGGAAGAGTTTGTTAGAAGCGCGAAGTTCCTTCGTAACCACCTGGAGAGCTATTTAGTTAACAAGTGTCAGGAGACTATTGTGATTCGAAAAGAACAAGGCAAGATAGACCACCTTCAAGCTGGGTATTTTAAAACCATGGAAGGGAAGGTAAACAAACTCCTAGAAGAATGTAAGGAAAGAAAATGTAAACTGAATTCCAAGAAACTGAAGCGAGAGTTTGAGAAAATGTGGAAAGAAACCTTGGCAGAGTTGCCCTCGACTATCTTAACTCACCGGCAAATTAACATTGATGTATTCCATCAGCTCAGGAAAGATTTAGAGTGTCGGGGTGGCTTGGCAAATCAGATCTTGCAGGAGTTAACCTGCATTTCAGAACTCGGTAAGAAACAATTCATCTTTAAAAACGAGCACCTAGAATTGACATTCTTTAAAAAAATGAAAAAATTCATCTTCAAGGATTATCTAGGTGAACTTGAGTTTGCTACTGTGCCTCTCATTGAAATGTGTCGAAATTATGTTATGGAAAAAGTCAGTCTGAAAGGGGACTATGTTGAAACATACTGTCGTGAATTATTGTGGATGATTAACCAGAAACTTGAAGAGAAAGATTTCCAGAAACTTCATATTACCATTAAATTTGAGGTAGAGGTGAAATATCACATTCTACAAGAGGCAGCTGCTTCTTTTCAGGAGATGCACAATGCCTTCTGCAGGGCAAATAATCCCCACCAGCGATTAAAAAACCTGAAACCTCACTACTTTTCCATCTTCAAAGATCTTTACAATGCGAAAGACGCTTGCCAGAAGAGAGCCATGAATTTTTGTGAAGTGTGTTTGGAGCCAGCTTTGGTGGACTACCTTAACAAGAGACTTGGCATTGACATAGTTGATAACTTTCTCAGCAGTGCGCAATCCATTCAGTATGGGAGTCGGAGCTTCTTTCAATTCATGGTGCAGAAGAAATTGCTAGAAGATGAAAATTTTGATGACTATGTGAAGTACATACGTGATTATAAGGGGTTTGTCAAATTTTGGATAGAGGAACACTTGGTGGACCACTATGGGAAAAGCCAAGATTTGGCAGTTTTGGAAAAAGAAATCTTATCTGCTGTGATAAAGAAAGTTAAAGCAGCTCTGGCAAGCTCTGCAGAAGAAACAGTGACTTTATTTGAATTTCTGGAATGTTTCTGCCAAGAGATGAGTGAAGAGCTTGTCATTTCCAAGGATTCTTTTGATATTATCCTGTTCAACAATACTTCCAAAGTTAGCTCTTTTGCAGCTGATGTCCAGGGCTATATCTCTGAAGTAATGGAAAGAATTCTCGCAGATCAATCTAAACTGGATGTTGATATGATACTTCAAGCGGTTTCATTCAAGCCCCAGGAAGAAATCTTCAGGCGTGTCTTTGGCTGTGGGAAACAGTGCCCCTTCTGTAAAGTCCCTTGTGAAGCTGGGGGTGGAAATCATCAGGAACATTTTGCCTCGACCCATCGACCTCAAGGGTTAGGGCAGTATAGATGTGTTATAACCAAGAAGCTTAACTATTCCTTATGCTCTTCATATGTCACTTCAGATGCTACTTTCGAAAACATGGCCACAGACTGGAAACCTCATCCCTATAAAGAATATCGTCAGTACTATCCTGACTGGCGCATACAGCCTGATGCTAGCATTGCAGCCTCAGACTACTGGAAGTTTATATTCAACAAGTACAACCAGAAGTTTGCTGAAGAGTATGATGCTCTCCCTGCTGTTCTCCCTGAGGATTGGAAGAGAATTACTAAGCAGCAAGCACTGGAAAGCATCCAAGAAGTCTTTAACATGCAATAATAAATGACAGCTGCTGCCATTGCCAACTTTTCCACCTAAATGCCTTATCAGGGTTATAAGGTGTGATAGGGTGATAGAAATGCTAATCTAAATCCAATTGCTGGTCTCAACTAGTGTAGCCCTACTCGGTCCATAGTATGATATATGTGTTAATTAATGTGAGTCAGATTTGGCTCACTTTCTGCAGTAAATAGCAATCTATTAAAAGTCATTGAAATCATATGTGGCATATAGAGATTTTGATGGAATGCTTTGAAGGCAAATTACCTAATGTCCGGAAATATTTCAAAATATATATTCATTTAAAATTGACTGTTAAATACAAGCTGTGCCACCCAGGGATAAAGAATTTGTATACCTTAACCTTCTCAGTTACATGTTTTTTGAGAGGAGGTGAAAACTGCCTAATTTACAAATCATGTAGCCACTGCCTTGTTATCTTTTTTTTCTGTGAATTCTTTCCCTGTGTCTGCATATATTCAATAAATTCTAAAGAACCCAGTCTGCTTGCAATAACTTTACCTGTCTAGTAACTTTTCTTCTATTTCCTTCCCTCCCTGGGAGAAATATTACCCTAGGATTAGTATTAACCAGCTTGTTTTGATAGTAGACATATGTAACTTACCTTTACACTGAAATTGCTTCAGAAAAAATGAACAGTATTAAAAATTTACTTGTGTCAAAGAAGGTGAGGGGGTTTATGCCTGTTTGGCAATGTCCTAATTCTTTCCACCTTTATCTCCTACTTTGTAAATCCTGATATGGCAAGAGAGCAGCTTACTTTACTCTATAAAACCAATATACAGCACAATCTAAAAGAAATTGCTCAGTACCAGACCACCCCTTCGCTAGCGTTGGCCAGATTGCATGGTGACCAAAAGGAAATTTAAATTTTTATGATTTTATGTTTAGTAAAGCAACAAATGACCCCACTGGATGTGGAAAACTAGGTATCTTGTAAAAATGCCTTGTATGACGGTTGGCCACGTCAGTAATAAGACATCCTTCCCTCGACCTTTAGGGTTACAAATCGTAAAGGAAACAGACTAATATATTTGCTATGTTTTTCTGATGTCATTTTGTATGAATGTTTTAGTAATCTCAACATGGATAGACAATGGCATTCCAAGAAAGCTTTCCAGGGGGTAACCGCCTTTGGTCACAGAGTTCAACCAAGTCCTGTAGGATCTATATCCTAAAAGCAACAGATCTTACCTCGTTTTTGAATCTAGGTTAGGGTCAGATCAGGGTAATACTTGGATTGGGGAGCTGGCAAGGAAAACCAGGTGTGGTTTGCTATTGCCTCTTACTAGTTAGGGTCCCCTCTTTCTTACCTTGACATCAATTTGGAGCCAGGAGAGAACAGTTCTGTCATTTGCCCAGAACTTCGTTGCTATTTGTCATCTAGTCAGCTTTGATGTATAATGATACTATGAATGAAAGACCTACGTTATGGTCTCATTAATTCCTAAGTTATAGGCTGCTCTGCTCATATCTTACAAACACGGGGCTGTGGTTTCCTTAATTCAATCAAGGCACCTGTAGTTCAGTCTTTACTTCTATTGCCATTTGCTTTACATTATAATCTTTCCCCAGTTGTCTCACTGTGAGCCCAAAGTATTATTATTATTATTATTATTATTATTATTATTTACAGCATTTATATTCTGCCCTTCTCACCCCGCAGGGGACTCAGGGCGGATTACAGTGTACACATATATGGCAAACATTCAATGCCAATTTTGACATACGATATATACAGACATAGACAGAGGCTATTTAACTTTTTCTGGCCACCAGGGGAGCTGTCGCTTTCATTGTCCATCTGTGACACTGATGAAGTACTTCCGCATTCCCCGAATGATTTTTGCTGGAGTGCTTGCTGGTGTCTTTTTTTTTAATGGCCTCATAAATTAGTTAATTTAGCCTCTCCACACTTTAAGGTGATACCTAATTTTCCTACTTGACAGATAGAATCATAGAATCAAAGAGTTGGAAGAGACCTCATGGGCCATCCAGGCCAACCCCCTGCCAAGAAGCAGGAATATTGCATTCAAATCACCCCTGACAGATGGCTATCCAGCCCCTGTTTAAAAGCTTCCAAAGAAGGAGCCTCCACCACACTCGGAGGCAGAGAGTTCCACTGCTGAACGGCTCTCACAGTCAGGAAGTTCTTCCTCATGTTCAGATGGAATCTCCTTTCTTGTAGTTTGAAGCCATTGTTTCGCATCCTAGTCTCCAAGGAAGCAGAAAACAAGCTTGCTCCCTCCTCCCTGTGGCTTCCTCTCACATATTTATACATGGCTGCAACTGTCTTTCGGATTGTAAAGGTTGACAACAGGCTACACAATTGGTTGGAAACCCACTCCAACCCGGGCTGGCTTCGAACTTACGACCTTTTGGTCAGAGTGATCTTAATACAGCTGACACTCAGCCAGCTGTGCCACAATCCCGGTACAATAGTCTTCCAGGGAAAATTCAGACCTGATGTGCTCTCGGACTCGCTGGTCTCTTGGACACTCCATGGTACCTGTAGAGCTCTCCTTCAGCACCATATTTCATATCAGTTGATCTATTTTCCTACCAGCTTTCTTATTTTTATCCCTAACTAGAAATACTACAGAATTGATGGTTCTGACTTTAATCAGTTCCGTCAAGGCTGTCGTGCCCAGTTTCAGCCTTCTTTTTATTTCCTGACTATAGTTTCCCTTTTGATTAATTACCAACTTCCAACTTTTTAAAAAAGTTTCTGTACGCTATAACAATAATCTTTTTTAAAAAATTAGATCCTTCTTGTTGGCTGTTGAGGGAAAAGTGGCAAAACGATGCTTTAAACTCAAACATGGGATTTTGGCCTGTGTAAGTAGGAGTATACTGTGTAGATCCAGGGAAGTCATGCTACCCCTCTATTCTGCCTTGGTCATACCACACCTGAAAAACTGTGTCTAATTCTAGGCACCACAATTGAAGGGAGATTTTGACAAGTTGGAATATGTCCAGAGGAGGGTGACTAAAATGATCAAGGGTCTGGAGAACAAGCCCTATGAGGAGCGGCTTAAAAAGCTGAGCATGTTCAGCCTGCAGAAGAGAAGGCAGAGAGGCAACATGATGGCCATGTATAAATATGTGAGGGGAAGTCATAGGGAGGAGGGAGAAAGCTTGTTTTCTGCTGCCATGGAGACCAGGACATGGAAAAATGGCTTCAAACTATAAGAAAGGAGATTCCATCTGAACATTAGGAAGAACTTGACTGTGAGAGCCGTTCAGCAGTGGAACTCTCTGCCCCAGAGTGTGGGAGGCTCCTTCTTTGGAAGCTTTTAAACAGAGGCTGGATGGCCATCTGTCAGGGGTGATTTGAATGCAATTTTTCGGCATGTCTCATTAAGAGCCACATCCACTGTTTTAGTGTGGTGAGATGTGTTCCACACTGGGCATGCATACTCAGCAGCAGATTAGCATAGCGCAAGGGCAGATGTCTTCACTGTATCTGGTTGTGATCCCCAGGTTGTGCCAGTCAGCTTTCGTATGATATTGTTTCTAGCACCCACTTTTTGCTTGATGTTCAGGCAGTGCTTCTTGTAGGTAAGAGCACGGTCCAGAGTGACTCCCAGGTATTTGGGTGTGCTGCAATGCTCCAGTGGGATTCCTTCCCAGGTCATCCTCAGAGCTCGGGATGCTTCTCTGTTCTTGAGATGAAAGGCACATGTCTGTGTTTTAGATGGATTAGGGATCAGCTGGTTTTCCCTGTAGTAGGCAGTAAGAGCACCTAGAGCTTCGGAGAGCTTCTGTTCTACCATCTCAAAGCTCCCTGCTTGAGCAGTAATGGCACGATCATCAGCATAGATGAAACTCTCTGTCCCTTCTGGCAGTGGCTGGTCATTTGTGTAGATGTTGAACATGGATGGAGCAAGCACGCTCCCCTGAGGCAGGCCGTTCTTCTGTTTCCGCCATCTGCTTCTCTGGCCCTGGAACTCAACAAAAAAGCTCCTGTTTTGTAGCAGATTTCCTATGAGGCAGGTGAGGTGGTAATCCTTTGTGATATTATACATTTTTCTCAGTAGGAGGCTGTGGTTTACACAACATTCCAGTGATAGGTCTATGAAGAGGGACATTAGAGAAGCCTCCTCGCAGAATTGCAAGACATCCGGGCGTCCCCTGGGCAACCTCTTCGGAGACGGCTGATTCTCTCACTCCAGAAGCGACCAGAAGGGATGAGCTGGAGATGTCACTGCCTTCATCCTTTCACTATTGGCTTCTATGTCAGGTGGTGCAATACCGGCTAAGCAGTGTAATTTCTCCAGTGGTGTAGGGCGCAGACACCCCGTGATAATGCGGCATGTCTCCTTAAGAGCCACATCCACTGTTTTAGTGTGGTGAGATGTGTTCCACACTGGGCATGCATACTCAGCAGCAGAGTAGCATAGCGCAAGGGCAGATGTCTTCACTGTGTCTGGTTGTGATCCCCAGGTTGTGCCAGTCAGCTTTCGTATGATGTTTCTAGCACCCACTTTTTGCTTGATGTTCAGGCAGTGCTTCTTGTAGGTAAGAGCACGGTCCAGAGTGACTCCCAGGTATTTGGGTGCGCTGCAATGCTCCAGTGGGATTCCTTCCCAGGTGATCTTCAGAGCTCGGGATGCTTCTCTGTTCTTGAGATGAAAGGCACATGTCTGTGTTTTAGATGGGTTAGGGATCAGCTGGTTTTCCCTGTAGTAGGCAGTAAGAGCACCTAGAGCTTCGGAGAGCTTCTGTTCTACCGTCTCAAAGCTCCCTGCTTGAGCAGTAATGGCACGATCATCAGCATAGATGAAACTCTCTGTCCCTTCTGGCAGTGGCTGGTCATTTGTGTAGATGTTGAACATGGATGGAGCTGACGGACCACAACTCCCAGCATGCCCTGCTCTTTGAAGGCTGAGGGACCACAACTCCCAGCATGCCCTGCTCCTTTCCCCCGCCTCCTGAGCCCTTCGGTCGCCTTGCCTAGCTCCTCCCTTCTGCGCCCTGATTGGCTGCGGGGCGCAATGGCGGGCGGGCGAGTGTCTCGTGCCAGAGTGGCAGCAGGGGAAGCTGCCCGGGGCTCGCTTCCCGCCGGAAGGAAGAGCAACAACAACAACAGCAGCGGCAGGAGTGCAGGCGAAGGGATGCCAGGCTGGGAGCGGGCGGCACGGCTGTGCCTGTGCGCGGCGGGGCTAGCCCTCTCGGCCTACGCCTTCCACGTGGAGGCGGCCAAGGAGCGCGACGCCGCCTACCGCGCCATGTGCGACCTCAGCGCCAGCGTCAGCTGTTCTCGCGTCTTCACCTCCAGGTAGATGCCTTGTGGGCGTATTCAGTAGGGCAGGCATGGGCCAACTTGGCCCCTTGTTGTTGTTGTTCATTCGTTCAGTCGTCTCCGACTCTTCGTGACCTCATGGACCAGCCCACGCCAGAGCTCCCTGTCGGCCGTCACCACCCCCAGCTCCTTCAAGGTCAGTCCAGTCACTTCAAGGATGCCATCCATCCATCTTGCCCTTGGTCGGCCCCTCTTCCTTTTGCCTTCCACTTTCCCCAGCATCATTGTCTTCTCTAGGCTTTCCTGTCTCCTCATGATGTGGCCAAAGTACTTCAACTTTGTCTCTAGTATCTTTCCCTCCAGTGAGCAGTCGGGCTTTATTTCCTGGAGGATGGACTGGTTGGATCTTCTCGCAGTCCAAGGCACTCTCAGCACTTTCCTCCAACACCACAGTTCAAAAGCATCGATCTTCCTTCGCTCAGCCTTCCCTAAGGTCCAGCTCTCACATCCGTAGTGACTACAGGGAATACCATGGCTTTGACTAGGCGGATCTTTGTTGCCAGTCTGATGTCTCTACTCTTTACTATTTTATCGAGATTGGACATTGCTCTCCCCCAAGAAGGAAGCGTCTCCTGATTTCCTGGCCACAGTCTGCATCTGCAGTAATCTTTGCACCTAGAAATACAAAGTCTGTCACGGCCTCCACATTTTCTCCCTCTATTTTCCAGTTGTCAATCATTCTTGTTGCCATAATCTTGGTTTTTTTTATGTTTAGCTACAACCCGGCTTTTGCGCTTTCTTCTTTCACCTTGATTAGAAGGCTCCTCAGCTCCTCCTCGCTTTCGGCCATCAGAGTGGTGTCATCTGCATATCTGAGGTTGTTAATGTTTCTTCCAGCAATTTTCACCCCAGCTTGCCACATTCCTCAAGCCCCGCAAATCGCATGATGTGTTCTGCATACAAGTTGAATAGGTTGGGTGAGAGTAGACAACCCTGCCGTACGCCTTTCCCAATCTTGAACCAGTCTGTTGTTCCATGGTCAGTTCTGACTGTTGCTACTTGGTCCTTGTACAGATTCCTCAGGAGAGAGACAAGGTGGCTTGGGATGCCCATCCCACTAAGAACTTGCCACAATTTATTATGATCCACACAGTCAAAGGCTTTAGAATAGTCAATGAAGCAGAAGTAGATGTGTTTCTGAAACTCCCTGCCTTTCCCCATTATCCAGCAGATATTGGCAATTTGGTCTCTCGTTCCTCTACCTTTTCTAAACCCAGCTTGAACATCTGGCAACTCTCGCTCCATGTATTGCTGGAGTCTTCCTTGCAGGATCTTGAGCATTACCTTACTGGCATGAGAAATAAGGGCCACTGTACGGAAGTTGGAGCAGTCTTTCGCATTTCCCTTTTTTGGTATGGGGATATAAGTTGATTTTTTCCAGTCTGATGGCCATTCTTGTGTTTTCCATATTTGCTGGCATATGGCATGCATCACCTTGACAGCATCATCTTTTAATATTTTAAACAGTTCAGCTGGGATCCCGTCGTCTCCTGCTGCCTTGTTGTTAGCAATGCTTCTTAAGGCCCATTCAACCTCACTCCTCAGGATGTCTGGTTCTAATTCATTCACCACACCGTCAAAGTGGTGATAGATGGATAGGCCTTACTGGTGCATTATTTAAACTGTTATGTTTATTCATATCATGATCTGATCACCATACTCACTATATCCCATATGCATGGGGGTATTGGGGTAATGATACAAAAGGTTTGCTAGGCTAGACCCTCTTTCACTCAGACTCAGCCCCCCCCCGAAACTCAGCCCCCCCAACCCCCCTGAAAAAAAATTCAGCCCCCCCCCCCCCCCGAAACAAAATCCTGGCTACGGGCCTTATCTGTGGAATAGCTGGGGTGCGGCAAAGAGCTCTTCTCTGCTGGAGCTAGGTGTGAATGTTTCAACTGACCACCTTCATTAGCATTTGAAGGCCTGGCTGAGCCTGGGAAAATCTTTTGTTGAGAGGTGTTAAGATGTGCCTGGTTGTTTCCTCTCTGTCAGTCAGTCAGTAGCCTTTATTTCGGTCAACAAACCATCGGCTAAGTCAAGTGAAAGTAGAACGATGAAATACAACAATTAACAATTAATAACATCACATTTGGCTTATAATTAATAAAAACAAGTATCACCATTTGCTATCAGATGAATGATTGTCTATATAATCTAAAACAGGAACTGATTGCAAATTAATAATAAGTCTCCCAAGTACTCTTTGTTATACTCAGCCTTTACAGGTTATTCATGAAGCACTTGCGGCTTTTTGCCGCTGCAAACAGAAATTTGGCCACCTGTTCCATTACCCTTTTATCAAGAGCAGACAGTAAATAAGTGCAGTACCAGCTTAGGGATCTTCCTGGCCACTTGGTGAGTAGAGGGGATATTAACCTTAGTCTACCATCCTTGTAAATTGTTTCCTCCCTGCTGTTTTGCTGTTGTAATTTTTGAGTTTTTTAAATACTGGTAGCCAGATTTTGTTCATTTTCATGGTCTCCTCCTTTCTGTTGAAATTGTCCACATGCTTGTGGATTTCAATAGCTTCTCTGTGTAGTCTGACATGGTGGTTGTTGGTGTGGTCCAGCATTTCTGTGTTCTCAGATAATATGCTATGTCCAGGTTGGTTCATCAGGTGCTCTGTAATGGCTGATTTCTCTGGTTGAAGTAGTCTGCAGTGCCTTTCATGTTCCTTGATTCATGTTTGGGCCACACTGCGTTTGGTGGTCCCTATGTAGACTTGTCCACAGCTGCATGTTATATGGTAGACTCCTGCAGAGGTGAGAGGATCCCTCTTGTCCTTTGCTGAACGTAGCATTTGTTGGATTTTCTTGGTGGGTCTGTAGATTAGGAAGTCTGCTTGACTTGAATTCATCTTTCAGGCAGTCCCAATTCTGCAGTTCCGCCAGTTCCATTTGGTAAATTGTATCCACATTTTCAATGTCAATAGAAAATGGGTTACAGAAAAGCTGTATGCCCTATTCATGAAGCTGATGCTCTTTTAATCTAAATTGGAACTCTTTTTGTTGTGTCAGGAGCGACCTGAGAAACTTCAAGTCGCTTCTGGTGTGAGAGAATTGGCTGTCTGCAAGGACGTTGCCCAGGGGACATTGCCCGGATGATTTGATGTTTTATCATCCTTGTGGGAGGCTTCTCTCATGTCCCGGTATGAGGAGCTGGAGCTGATAGAGGGAGCTCATCCGCCTCTCCCCAGATTCGAACCTGCGACCTGTCGGTCTTCAGTCCTGCCAGCATAGGGGTTTAACCCACTGCGCTACTGGGGGCTCACCTTTGCAGTTTTGTTTTGTTTTGTTTACGAATACAACCAATGGTTTTTCCACCAACAGATTTTGAGTTGTGGGGAGATGGCAGAAATTCCCCTCCTTCACTTGTTTGATGAGGTCCAGTACATCTTGGGGAGGTGGGGGACTCAATCCTTCTCCACACCTGGCGGGCTAGGTAAATGTCCTTGGTGGGCCGCATGTGGCCAGTGGCCCGTAGTTTGAGGACCCCTGGATTAGACCGTAACACAATTTTTGTTCCTGGTTTAGGTAAAGATAAAGGTTTTCCCCTGACATTAAGTTTAATTGTACCCAACTCTGGGGGTTGGTGCTCATCTCCATTTCTAAGCCAAAGAGCTGGTGTTGTCCGTAGACACCTCCAAGGTCATGTGGCCAGCATGACTGCATGGAGCACTGTTACCTTCCCGCTGGAGTGATATCTATTGATCTACTCACATTTACATGTTTTCAAACTGCATATATATATATATATATATATATATGTAACTGTATAAATAAAAACGTAATGTTCGTTTGTAGGATTAACATAACTCAAAAACCACTGGACGAATGGACATAAAAGTTGGACACAATACACCTATTAGGCCAACAAATGACCATCGCTCTTAAAAACACCGAAAAACACAATAGGAGAGACTTAAAAAGCAAAAACAAACAAACATTACAATGCATGCACAAAACCACTTATATACACATATACACAAATATATATGACATATACACAGACTAGGCCACAGCAACGCGTGGCAGGGGACAGCTTGTGTGTGTGTATGGCTAGAGTCAAAATATGTCAATACACAAATGTCCTATTGCTATAAACTTCAGCAAAAATACCAATTGGAATACCATTGGTCCTGCTGGCTAAGGCCAGTTGTGGTGTTCTCTCCAACTCCCTGCCCATCATGCTCAATCCATTATTATTATTATTATTATTATTATTATTATTATTATTATTATCCCCACTGCTTTCCATTCTGTAACATATTTCTTGTCCCCTTTTTCTTTCCAGGTGGGGTCGTGGTTTTGGCTTGGTGGCAGGCCTCTTAGGATCCGATAGTGTGTTCAACCAACCAAATAGCATCTTTGGGATTGCTTTCTATATTCTTCAGGTCCTTTTGGGTGAGTGATAACATTTGTTTCGTCATTCATAAAGATCCCAGGGTGATGCATTGGGGAACAAAATATTCAAATAATAAATAAATAATAATAATAAGACCCTAAATATAACTGTGCATGCTATAAAACCAAGAGAGCTCTCAATTTGGAGGGGAGGGGGGTTAAAAAGTTTGTTTTCTTTGGACTTTTGGTTGTCCTTGTGGCTGAATTCTGGGAAATATAGTCCAAAGTCTGTTTAAAATTGGACTGTAGCAAACAGACTGTGGAGATGTCTGTGTGAGAGAGTTCATGTTGTGTACACACATCTGTGTGTAAATATATTTCAGTACAACCTTTCTCTTTAAAGCCGCCTTGAGTCCCCTTTGGAGTTGAGAAGGGTGGGGTATAAATATGGTAAATAAATAAATTATAACTCTTTCAGGAGTGAATTTCCCTTCTGAGGGGTAGATTTCTCTCACTTCCTGTTGCCTCACTCCTGTTCTTAACTAAGAGTTTGATGTTTGTAACTTGCGGACTGCTTGTAATAAGTTAATTAGGATGTGTTTTGTTTTGTTTTTTTGGGGGGGTTGCTTTCATTTCTCTGGATTTTTTTTATCATGTCAAGAGTGACTTGAGAAACTGCAAGTCCCTTCTGGTGTGAGAGAATTGGCCATCTGCAAGAACGTTGCCCAGGGGACGCCTGGATTATTTGATTTTTTTTTAATCATCCTTGTGGGAGGCTTCTCTCATGTCCCCGCGTGAGGAGTTGGAGCAGATAGAGGGAGCTCATCCGCCTCTCCCCGAATTTGAACCTATGACCTGTCAGTCTTCAGTCCTGCCGGCACAAGGGTTTAACCCACTGCGCCACCAGGGGCTCCTATTTTCTCTGGATGAAAGCAAAGTAACCTTGCATCCTTCTTCTTCCCAGGTTTCTCCACCAGTGGCTTGGCGGCCATCGCTCTGTTGGGCTCATCCTTGGTCTCCATTGCTGGTTCGCTCTACCTGGCTTACATCCTCTTCTTTGTGCTCCATGACTTCTGTGTGATTTGTGTCAGTACTTACATCCTCAATTTCGCCCTGCTCTTTCTCAACTACAAACGCCTCAACTATCTCAACCGGTCTTGGCAATGTCATCCAGCTAAGACCAAAAAGCAATGAATATAAAACCTGGATTATGCTAGAATGGTGAAGCTTTAGACTGATCTTTCGAATCTTTTTATAAGCCTTTTGTTTCGCATAAATTTGCTCATTCAGCTTGTTTTGCCCTCTTCCCCCAAATCACTGAGACCAGATTTTTCAGCATTCCTCTTCTCTGTGCCTTTGGATTCCAATCAAGTTAGGACTCTGGGTTCTATTTTGAGTCTTTAATGGTTGTGTTAACCTACAGAACTCAATACCTTCTTTTTAAATATATATATATAAAGCTTATTTTTATAGGCCTTCATATAGGAACAAAAACAAAAACATATCAGTTTGTGCAAATATAGCTATTGCTGGTTTTGCTTTTTCAAATGGCATTAAAGTGAGAATTGTTGACCATTTGAAATTAGACAGTCATGGGCACGACCTGATTTTGGTAGGAAACGTCTTCGATTTTTAACCACACTAAACATAATTGAGAGTTTGCTATCTTTTTAATGGTACTCCAAGGTTTCCTGTCAAATTCTCAACCTAAAATTGTACAAAAATGATATTTTTTTAAAAATACAAAGTTATGTTCTAACACTAAATTTGGGAACCACACAACAATTCCTTCTGGTTAGTGGTCACACTGATGTTGTGTCCTGCCAAATGGTTTACTTTTTCAATTATTAATAATAGTATGCTTGTGTATAATTTATAAATATAAATATAATAAATATACTTTATTTATATTCCAATCTATCTCCCCAAGGGGACTCAGAGCAGATTGCAGAATACATATATGGCAAACATTTAATGCTGCCATACAGTTAACAAAGAAAGATAGTACACAGACAGAGGCAATGCTTCCCTTTTTTTCATTTCTGGCATCTGGAGACTGCTCAACTCGGCAATGGGGAAGTGCTGTTGTTCCATTTTTCTACACCGAGGAGCCTGTTGTCCATAGATGCCTTCCTGATTGAATTGCCGGCATGTTTTCAGGGGGCACTTTTTACCTCCCCACCTATTTATCTACTCACATTGCTGTTTTTAAACTGCTAGAAAAGCAGAAGCTACGACTGACGGTGGCAGCTCACCCCAAACCGCAGCTTGAACTGCCAACCTTCTGATCAGGGAGAGAGGGTGGTCTAGAAATAAAGTATTATTATTATTATTTATAGCTGGCATTTTAACCTGCTGTGCAAACTGCGGCCTCTTACGGCTAGGCCTATGTTAGATAGGCTGAAACAATCTACTTCAGGCAGGAGACTCTGGATTGCCATTTAAAAGACAGTAAACTGTTATTTTTAGTGGGTTTGATAATGCTAGACATTGCAGATAAATGAAAAATAAACCAAACCTGCATTCAGATTTGTTAGCATTTTATTTTAAATCCTGCAAGCTGGGGCTTTATGTGGAACTCTGGTTTTGACAAAGGATGTCTGGCATATACCGACAAAATGCTGACAAGGGATACACAATTGCCGAAAATGAATGCATTGCTCAAGTACATTTCAGAAATACTGTATGTGACAGGTAGCAGTAAATGTCAGCAAACATATAAAATATTACATATCTGTAGAAATGTATACAGGTATGTGTAATATTTGGGATGGGTTCCATTTGTTGCCGCATATTCCACATTTCTCTGTTCAGACAGTTGGATTGTGTACACATACCTTTGTCAATGGATATTGACTAGCAGTATAGTCCCATTCGTTTGGTTAGAAGATATTGGTCACATTGTGCTGGTCTTATGTGCCTTAAAGTTATTTCCAACTTATGGCAACCCTAAGATAATCCTATAATGGGGTTTTCATAGCAAGATTTGTTCAGAGAGGGGATACTTTTTGCCTTGCTCTGAGACTGAGTGAGTATGTATGTGTCTATACTATCGGCCAGTTTCCAATCTTCCCTACTTGGGCAAAGTCATGGAACGTGTGGTGGCAACACAACTCCAGGGGTTTCTGGTAGACACTGATTATCTGGATCCAGCACAGTCTGGCTTTAGGCCGGGACATGGAACTGAGACAGCCTTGGTCGCCTTGGTAGATGATCTTCGCAGGGAACTGGACAGGGGTAGTGTGTCCCTGTTAGTTCTGCTGGACCTCTCAGCGGCTTTCGATACTGTCGATCACGGTATCCTTCTGGGTCGCCTCATGGATATGGCGCTCGGGGGCACTGCCTTGCAGTGGCTCCGATCCTTCCTTGAGGGACGGACCCAGAAGGTGTTATTGGGTGACACCTGTTCGACTCCACAACCATTGTTGTGTGGAGTCCCACAGGGTTCAATTCTGTCCCCGATGTTATTTAACATCTACATGAAGCCGCTGGGAGAGATCATTCGGAGTTTCGGAATGAGATGTTATCTCTACGCAGATGATGTCCAAATCTGTCACTCCTTCTCACCTGTCACCAAGGAGGCTGTCCAGACCTTGAACCGGTGTTTAGCTGCTGTGTTGGACTGGATGAGAGCTAACAAATTGAAATTGAATCCAGACAAGACAGAGGTCCTACTGGTCAGTCGTAAGGCCGAACAGGGCATAGGGTTACAGCCTGTGTTAGACGGGGTTACACTCCCCCTGAAGACGCAGCTTGGGAGTGATCCTGGACTCATTGCTGAGCCTGGAACCCCAGGTCTCAGCGGTGGCCGGGAGAGCTTTCGCACAACTAAAACTTGTGCGCCAGCTGCGCCCGTACCTTGAGAAGCCAGATCTGGCCACGGTGGTACATGCTCTTGTCACATCCCGGCTGGATTACTGCAACGCACTCTACGTGGGGTTGCCTTTGAAGACTTCTCAGAAACTACAACTAGTCCAGCGAGAAGCAGCCAGATTGCTCACCGGAGCGACGTACAGGGAGCATACAACCCCCCTGTTGCGTCAGCTCCACTGGCTGCCGATCCAATTCCGAGCACAATTCAAAGTGCTGGTTTTGACCTACAAAACCCTATACGGTTCCGGCCCAGTGTATTTGTCCAAACGGATCTCCCTCTACGTCCCACCTCGAAGCTTAAGATCTTCTGGGGAGGCCCTGCTCTCGACCCCGCCATTGTCACAAGTGAGGCTGGCGGGGACGAGGAGCAGGGCCTTCTCAGTGGTGGCCCCCCACCTGTGGAACTCACTCCCTGGGGAGATTAGGTCATCATCTTCCCTTTTGGCGTTCAGGAAAAAACTGAAGACCTGGATCTGGGATCAAGCCTTTGGTCATTGACAGCTAACTGAAGGATCTGATGATAGACAAGGACAAATGAAATGGAATGGATATATTGACTCTGAACCCTGAGCATGAGACTGTTTTATTGTTTTATTATGTACTGATGTTTTAATTAATTGTTGAATTGTTGTATTTTGTATTGCTTGTGAATTGCCTTGGGCATCTAATTGTGCCCCCACTGTAAGCCGCCCTGAGTCCCCCCCGGGGTGAGAAGGGCGGGGTATAAGTAAATGAAATAAATAAATAAAAAATAAATATACTGCAGAATTAATCCAGTTTGACTCCATAAAATACAATACTGGACGTTATGATTTGGTGAGGCACTAGAATTCTTTGGCAGAGAAGACTGCAATCCTTGTAAAACTGCAGCTCCAATAATTCCATAACATTGAGCCATTGCAGTTGAAGTGGTGTCAAACTGCATTAATTCTACAGTGTAGACCAGATGTGGACAAACTTCGGCCCTTCAGGTGTTTTGGACTACAATTCCCACAATTCCTAACAGCCTACCGGCTGTTAGGAATTGTGGGAATTATAGTCCAAAACACCTGGAGGGCTGAAGTTTGCCCATGCCTGGTGTAGATGCACCTTATGATTTGCCCAAGGTCAGCCATTGGATTTCCATGGCTAAGCATCGATTCAAACTCTGGTCTCAAACCACTGCAGTATACTGGCTGCCATCGGACCCATACTAGTTGACTATCAAGAAGCTTTAGCTGTTTATGCCCATTTCTGAGAAAGAAAGATTGCATTCATATATTCTAAATTTGAGTGGGACGAGCTGATGTTCTCCAGGCTGTTTTAGACTACAGTTCCCAACAGTCTTAGCCAAAAGTGAGAAAGAACTATTAATTACACTTCTTATGTCCCCACATGAGAAGCTGGAGCTGACAGACGGGAGCTCACCCTGCCCCCCAAATTCGAACTGCCTACCTTTCGGTCAGCAGTCCTGCCAACACAAGGGTTTACACAATCTGCTCCTAACAATGGATTCAAACTGCAGGAAAAGATATTCTACCTAAACCTTGGGAAGGACTTCTTGATGGTAAGAGCTGTTTGGCAGTGGAATATGTTGCCTTGCAGTGTGATGGGGTCTCCTTCTCTGGAGGTTTTTAAGCAGGGGCTGGATGACCATCTGTCAGGAGATTTTTCTGTATGGCAGAAGAGGGTTGGACTGGATGGCCTTTGGGGTCTCTTCCAACTCTTGGATTAGACTATGTAACACGAGTTGGTTTTTTTTTGTGGGTTATAAATATCATTTCCTAATTGGTTCTATCATAAAAATATGGAAAAGGTTTATTAAACTGCAAAAACTTTGTTTTTGCTGGACATCCTACAGCACATTTGGCTCTAGTTTTTCGATGAATATCGAGTCTCAACCAATACAACATAGCGTGTGGCAGCCACAAAAACGAAGTTTCTGGGGTAGAACAACTATGGTACTTTCAAAGTAAGTACTGCACAATTAAACAGGAAATAACACTTTCAAACCAGAAAGAGATGTTTTTTCAAATTTGGTTTCATAGAGTTATAAGTCTATAGAGAGATTTTCACAGCCTCTTGAGATGGGAAAGCCTCTGTTCTCAATCCTAGAGTGCGTTTCCCATGAAGGAAACTGCATAAAAATATATGTATTTATTGTTTACGGCATTTGTAGCCCGCCTTTCTCAGCCTTGCGACGACTTAAGGCGGCTCACAGAAATAGCAATTTTAGTGCCATACATTAATAAAAATACCTCTAGAACATGGCCATATAGCCCGAAAACAACCCAATTCGGAAAAATGTTGCGCTTGCAGAGCTCAGGCGGTGTTGTATTTCGGTGTCAATGTTGACTTTGGTGGAGAGGTGGCTGCCAAGGTAGCGGAAATGATCAACATTTTCTAATGTTACACCATTAAGCTGTATCTCTGGCATTGGAGAGGGATTGGCTGGTGACTGCTGGAAGAGCACTTTGGTTTTCTCAATGTTCAATGACAGGCCGAGCTTCTCGTATGCTTCTGCGAAGGTGTTTAGAGTGGCTTGTAGATCTTCTTCTGAATGCGCACAGATGATGTTGTCATCAGCATACTGGAGTTCTATAACAGATGTTGTTGTAACCTTGGTTTTGGCTTTCAGTCTGCTGAGGTTAAATAGCTTGCCATCTGTCCGATAGATGATTTCCACTCCGGTGGGAAGCTTCCCATCAACAAGATGAAGTATCATAGCGATGAAAATGGAGAATAAAGTTGGGGCAATAACACATCCCTGTTTGACACCTGATTCCACCTTAAATGGGTCACTTTGGGAGCCATTGCTGTCCAAAACTGTTGTCATCATGGAGGAGCCGCAGGATGTTCACAAATTTGTTAGGGCACCCGATTTTTTGGAACACTGGAAGACAATCATCCTCGGAAAGCGAGGGATCGCCTAAGTAAGTAAGTAAGTACAACAACCCAATTAAAATACAGTTAAAAACATTTGACTCAAGATTAAAAAAGCATATATAAACCATTTAAAAACATATAATCACCAAAGTCGTCCTGTTAAAATCATTATCCAGTAGCATTGTCCAGCCATTCCATGTTCATTCTTCCTATTGCATAATTACCTATTCCGTTGCACTTCAAAAAACTTGTTCAAAAAGCCCAGTTTTTACTCTTTTTCGGAAGGACAAGAGGGAGGGGGCCGATCTAATATCCCTAGGGAGGGAGTTTTGTAAAGGCACTCAAGACTTGGCTGTTTGACTGCATTTAAGTAATCAGATCTAATTTGCCAAATAGTCACTGTTGAATGTTTTTATGTTGGATGTTTTTATATTGTGTAAATGCTATTTTAGATTGTAAGTCGCTTGGAGCACCTTGGTGGAGAGCGACTAATTAAGAAATGAAGTGAAGTGAAGTTCCACAGCCGAGGGGCCACCACTGAGAAGGCCCTGTCTCTTTGGATTAGAGATTGAGATGAGCACCACACCCCAGAGTCATACACAACTGGACTTAATGTCAGGGGAAAACCTTTACCTTTAAATTAATTTTTCATTAATTATTTTTAAATTATTTTTATTTTATTTTTAAATTATTTTTATTTTAATTCTTTTAAAATTATATTATTTTATTATTTTAAAATTATTTTAAATCTTTAAATTATTTTATTAAATTATTAATTTTTAAAAAGGTATTTAATAATTTTAAAAAACCAACGTCTAAATAAAATTATAGCCTAGCAACATCCTTCAAAGACTACACTTCCCATACTGCCGCGCGCTTCCCTTTTGTTTGTGTTCTATTTCAAAACCCAGCGCACTTCCTGTTTGGGGAAAGAGAGAGCGCACTGGAAGGGAAAGGACTCCATTTCCCAGGAGGCATTGCTTCCCTCCGACAGAGCTCCCCTGGCATCAGTTCCCCCCTCTCCCAAAGAGCCAGCTGGTTCAGTCCGGTCCCTAAAGTGCGGAAACCGCTGCGGCGTTTGGGACTTACTTGGCGGTAAGGGCCCTCCTCGTGGAAGGTACCATTGTGATTGCTGATAGGGGGGGAACCAGGGAGGGTGTTTCAGGTTGAGGCGTTCTGGTCACAGCAACCAGGGAAAGGATGACGGGCTCTTGTATTGTTGAGGGAAAGGTGCATCGCCTTTGGGGGAGAAAGACATGGTTGTTATGGGGTTCTTTTAATACTGGGGAGGAGCTTGGCAAAGCCAGGACTGTGTCAAGATATTGGGGGCTAAAATAAATGGTTTCAGTTCCCCCCAAAGAAGAGGGGAACTGGTTTAAATGGAACTATAACCCACCTAAATCTTTAGGGCCTCATAGTTCAAGCCAAGGTCTTGGGCAGTGGTTTTCAACCTGTGGGTCTCCAGATGTTTTGGCCCTCAACTCCCAGAAATCCTAACAGCTGGTAAACTAGCTGGGATTTCTAGGAGTTGTAGCCCAAAACACCTGGGGACCCACAGGTTGACAACCACTGGTCTGGGGTGTCCTTGTGGACAACAAGATAAGCATGAGCCAGCAATGTGATGCTGCAGCTAAAAAAGCCAATGGGATTTTGGCCTGCATAAATAGGAGGAGTATAGTGTCTTCATCTTGTTTCTTGTCCTTTACTAATAATATATTATTAGTAAATATACTACTACTTCTAATACAATATTATACGACCACCCCAACGCGATTTGCTCTATATACCAGGTCCTAGGGAAGTGCACTTGGAAAGCATCAGACGCAGGGCCTTCTCTATTTCTAAAAGCACAATTCCACTATAAGTTGTGGTACACAAAACACAAAGGTAAATATATTCTTTCAGCTAATATAATGCAATATTAAACAAATAACAATTTACAATTTTATATATTGACAAGCTGGAATGTGCCCAGAGGAGGGCGACTAAAATGATCAAGGGTCTGGAGAACAAGCCCTATGAGGAACGGCTTAGGGAACTGGGCATGTTTAGCCTGAAGAAGAGAAGGCTGAGAGGAGATATGATAGCCATGTATAAATATGTGAGAGGAAGCCGCAGGGAGGAGGGAGCAAGCTTGTTTTCTGCTTCCTTGGAGACTAGGACGCGGAACAATGGCTTCAAACTACAAGAGAGGAGATTCCATCTGAATATGAGGAAGAACTTCCTGACTGTGAGAGCCGTTCAGCAGTGGAACTCTCTGCCCTGGAGTGTGGTGGAAGCTCCTTCTTTGGAAGCTTTTAAGCAGAGGCTGGATGGCCATCTGTCAGAGGTGATTTGAATGCAATATTCCTGCTTCTTGGCAGGGGGTTGGACTGGATGGCCCATGAGGTCTCTTCCAACTCTTTGATTCTATGATTCTATAGTGTGGCATACAGCAGTATATAATGAATTACAAACTTTGGTTTACACAGTGTTTATACAACCGTAGCAAAAGTCTTTCTTGGTGTAAAGCCAACTTCTCTATAGGGCATGAAGTCCCTTACTCTAGAGAAGGATACTCTTGAGTGAGGTTTTCAGTTTCTTGTGAGAAGATACCCACACTTCTCTTGAGGGCATAAAATCCCTTACTTTAGAGAAAGTTACTCTTGAGTAAGTTTTGAGTTTCTTGTACGAAGATATCCACAACTGGTTTCGACTAAAGTCTTCCTCAGGTGGGGAATTGTAGAGAGTAATGCAGTGGACATCAAGTTCATCACAATAACAGTGCTTCCTCGGATGTTTCATACAATGAGACAGTGGATCTACAGGGAATATACACAAGTGGCTAGAACATGTCCCACAAGGGATAAACATTTGCATATTATGATAACATGTAAGGTATACATGGAATTCCTTGCCTCCCTATTTGAGAGCCATGCGTGACTTAGTGCATTTTATCCTAGCACTTAAGACCTGGTTTTTTACTAGAGCATTTGACCCATGTTAATTTTAATATTTGTATGTATGTGTTTTATCCTGTATAATTTCTGCAATGTAAATCACCTGGAGCATCTTGGATGGAGGGCGATTAATAAGTAATTAAAGATGATGATGATGATGATGATATTACATGTAATATTACCCTAAACGGTTTTGGCCCAACTTACCTGTCCAAACGCATCTCCTCCTATGAACCCACTAGGACATTAAGATCGTCTGGGGAGTCCCTGCTCTCGGTCCTGCCTGCGTCACAAGTATATCTAGCGGGGACGAGAGACAGGGCCTTCTCAGTGGTGGCCCCTTGGCTGTGGAACGCCCTTCCTACAGATATTAGATTGTTCTCCTCTTTATTGTTACAGAGGAAAGTGAAGACCTAGTTGTTCAAGCAGGCATTTGAATAGGCAGTGTAAAGAATATAGGAATATGGAACAATTGGATGATGAAACTGGATCCTGATTCTAATTATGAGACATTAATAATATGTTTATTGATGTATAATTGATTATTTAATATGCTACTGTTTTAATTGTTTTAAACTTTTTAATGTTGTTCTGAGCGTTGAATTTTACTATTGTTAACCGTTTTGAGTCGCCCGGGGGCTGAGAAAAGCGGTATACAAATATAGTATATATACACATCTCGGAAACAGCTTTGAGGTGAGAAGGGCGGCATATAAATGTTGTAAATAAATAAATAATAGTGTCTAGATCAGGATCCACAATTTTTTAAAACAGAGGGCCAGGTCACAATCCCTCAAACTGTTGGAGGGCTGGATTATAATTTGAAAAAAAATGAATGAATACTTATGCACACTGCACATACCTTATTTGTAGTGCAAAAAACACTTTAAAACAATACAATAATTAAAATGAAGAACAATTTTAACAAATATAAATTTATTCGTGTTTCAGTGGGAAGTGTGGGCCTGCTTTTGGCTGATGAAATAGGATTGTTGTTGTTGTTGTTGTGTGCTTTCAGGTCATTTCAGACTTAGGTAGACCCTGACCAAGGGCTGGGTAAAGGACCTTGGAGGGTCGTATCCGGCCCCTGGGCCATAGTTTGAGGACCCCTGGTCTAGATCCAGGGAAGTCATTCTACCCCTCTATTCTGCCTTGGTTAGACCACACCTGGAATACTGTGTCCAATTCTGGGCACCCCAATTGAAGGGAGATGTTGACTCTAAGCTGGAATGTGTCCTGAGGCAACTGAAATGATCAAGGGTCTGGAGAACAAGCCATATGAGGAGTGGCTTGAAGAGCTGGGCATGTTTCGCCTGCAGAAGAGAAGACTGAGAGGAGACATGATAGCCATGTATGTGAGAGGGAGAAGTCATAGGGAGGAGGGAGCAAGCTTCCTTTCTGCTGCCCTGGAGACTAGGATGCAGAACAGTGGCTTCAAACTACAAGAAAGGAAATTCCATCTGAACATTAGGAAGAACTTCCTGACTGTGAGAGCTGTTCAGCAGTGGAACTCTCTTCCCTGAAGTGTGGTAAAGGTTCCTTCTATAGAGGCTTTTAAACAGAGGCTGAATGGCCATCTGTTGGGTGTGGTTTGAACATGATTTTCCTGCTTCTTGTCAGGGGTTAGACTGGATGGCCCATGAGGTCTCTTCCAACTATGATTCTATGTGTATCTACACCAGGCATGGGCAATCTTGGGCCCTCCATGTGTTTTGGACTTCAACTCCCATAATTCCTACAACAGCTGGTAGGCTGTTAGGAATTGTTGGAGTTGGAGTCCAAAACACCCAGAGGACCCAAGTTTGCCCAGGCCTGATCTACACTGTAGGATGAATGCTGTTCAATACCCTATTAACTGCCAAGGCTCATTGCTATGGAAATACGGGAGTTGTCGTTTGACAAGCCTTCTTTGCCAAAGAGCCGGGGCCTCACCAAACTACAACTCCCAAGGTTGCATTAGCCTTGAGCCATGGCAGTTAGAGTGGTGTTGAACTGCATTGTTTGTACGGTGTGGATACATTCTTGGATGGGCCTGTTCTTATCTGCACTGCCATAAAATGCAATCTGAAACTGTATTATGTGGTCGGTGATAGCCTCATGCTGTTTGACAACATTGAATGGCATAGGATGAGTCTACACCAGGAATGGGAAATCTTCACCCCTCTAGTGTTTTGGACTTCAACTCCCACAATTCCTAACAGTTTTGGCCTTCTCTGCCAAGTAGTGATGGTGTCACTCCAAATTACAATTGCTATTATTCCATATCATTGAGCTATGGCAGTTTGAGTAGTGTCGAGCAGCATTGATTCTATAGCAGTGGTTTGCTACCTTTAGTCCTTTGGGTGTTTTGGACTTGAGCTCCCACAATTCCTAACACCCAGTCAGCAGGCTGGGATTTGAAATCCAAAACAACTGGAGAACTAAAGGTTGAGAACCACTGTTCTATACTGTAGAGCTGGCAGGGGCAAACTTGGGCCTTCCAGGTGTTTTGGACTTCAACTCCCACAATTCCCCCTGGTCAGCTAGCTGGGATTTCTGGTAGTTGAAGTCCGAAAGAATTGGAGAACTAAAGGTTTGGAACCACAGTACTATAGTGTAGAGCAGGCAAGGGCAAACATCAGCCTTCCAGGTGTTTTGGACTTCAACTTTCACAATTCTGGCTGTTAGGAATTGTGGGAGTTGAAGTCCAAAACATCTGAAGGGCCGAAGTTTGCTCATGCCTGATCTACACTATTAATGCCATTTGACACCACTTTACCTGCCGTGACTCAATGCTGCGGAACCCTGGGATTTGTAGTTTAGTGAATCACCAGCACCCTTTGGCAGAGAAGACCAAAAACCTTGAAAAACTACAAGTCCCAGAATTCCATAGCATTGAGCCATGGCCTTTCAAATGGTGTCTAATTGCAGTGTAGATTTATGCTTGGTTGCTCTGTAAAGTGACAAAAATGTTCTGCTTTGGTTGCCATTTATGTTTGTTATTTAGGTTCCTCATGAATAGGGGATGTACCTATAGGTGGGAATTAAAGCCATTAACACCCAGCTAGAGTCTAGTAGGTTAAAGGAAGGGGACTTTAAGAGGAAAGGGCAGCTGCTGCAGTTGGGCTTGATCAGCCTTGTTCTACATAGAGTTGCAAGATAAGCTTGGGCTGGTGTCCAAGATGTCCTGCATTGCTCC